ATCCAATATGTAGCCAATAGGGGGCATCTTAAACAAACAAATTAAATGGACCGAAAAAACTAAAAAACATTAGTATACAGAATTGGGATTAATTAGTGATTATCTTCTGAAGAAAAGACGCATAAAATTTCCTTAACCTCGCTGCTTTACATACTGTGCTGTTCCAGATTAACTTCTTAATATTCATTTATTTCCAAGCAGTGTGTTGCAATCTGATGTTGTTTGGACCTTTAAGATTGTAATTAGAAAATCCAAATGAACTGCTGTGTAAAGTAATCTATTTTACAGTCATGTAGCGTTAGACTGAATGTCATTTGAAAAGTTATAGTTATTAAATAGCCAAGGGCAATAGGATTTTGATCTGAGCGGGCTGAAGGAAGAGGCTAATAATGATAAGGTGATGGCATTCTTCTTTTGAGCAATGGGATGATGTTGCATTGCAATTCTATTTCAGTACTCGCACATTTCAATAATGGAAGCTTATTGTAAGTCTAGATGTAAAACGCCTTCTTTGAGATTGGTTAAAACGTGTGCGACTTGTGCTGTAACACAATTAATGTGATAACTAATCTCTTTTCAACATGAATAGAGCAATTTATTTATTTTTAAAAGTCTTTTATTATGCTCCATTGGTGGCAAGGCGGAGGGACTGGGGGATGGAATTTCAGAGTGGCAGGGAGGCTGAAGGCCCGCCTGCCAATGGTGGGGCGGGCAACGTGGAGGTTGTGAAGCAGAATGGAGCCCGCTGAGTGGAGGAAGTGGACAGGTTGGGAGGAGGTCAAAGAGGTAGGGAAGAGCAAGGCCATGGAGGGCCTTGAAGGTGAAAACCAGGATCTTCAATTGTATCCTCTGAGTGATAGGGAGCCAGTGGAGCCAGGCGAGGATGGGGGTGATAGGTGCCTGGTGCGGGAGAGGACATGGATGACCTGCAGCTTGTGGGGGGAGGAGTTGGAGAGGCCGACAAGCAGCGAGTTTGCATAGTCGAGCCTGAATGTAATGAACGCACGATGACTATGTCCACTTCCGCCAGTTCTAGTTGCTGTATCAGCCTGGTTCACTCTCACCTGAGTCAGAATATCATGGAGCTTGATATTTTGTACCCAATGCTTCAGTGATTAGAGTTCCCGGCTTCTCGAGTCAGGAGGACAAAACCAGCATCCCATTTATATTAACACATTTAAAATACGCACTTCTCGAAATAACTTTCAAATATTTAATGGACACAAGCATAAATTTTAACAACACCCCAAAAATTAAGTCGGAGTCGTAATACATAAAATGCTGGCACTTACGGTTTGAGCAGAGGAGCAAGCTGACCCACTTGTTTGTTACAAGTCCCTCCAAGGTGTAACTCTTCTGCCTTGTATTTTATCACCTTGTGCGTGTACTCTCACACTCACAAAATACACATGCTTACAGACAATGAGTTTTCATGTAAATCAGCCCTCCTTTCAGACAACAACATCCTTTAACATCCTGCTACCTGTGGGGTGTAAATGACTGAAACAGTACCATGCAAACATGAAGGCAACATTCTAACAGACATTCAGTCTCCATTTGAACGAGTATTCAATCGAGTTTGTTGGTTCACCACCGTCACAAGAAGGTTGTGGGTTTAAGCCCCACAAAAGGAATCGGTACAGAATCATAAAATTATAGAAATTTATGGCACAGAAGGAGGTCATTCGACCCATCAAGTCTGCCCTGGGTCTCAGACCAATGTGTTCATTCATTCGCACAGTCTGCCCTAATCCCACACTCCTTCAAGCCTCTAACTTTTCACAAACATTTGTGTGTCAGCCTGGCTCAACTTCCAGTACTCTCGTCTCTGAGTCAGAAGGTGGTGATAGTCCAGGCTGACACTCCAATGGAGTGCTGAGACTGTGCTGCTTTGTTGGAGCTGCCATTCTTCACATCGGTTAAAGCAAAGTCCCATGTGCTTGGTTCAGCTGAATGTTAAAAACATCCTGTAGCATGAAGATCCTATTTGAAAAGAGAAGGGAGTTTATCCTGTCTCCAGCTCAACAATCCTTCAGATAAACCTAGTCATTCACTTTATGGCTGTTTGTGGTTTATTGTTAATATAGTATTATTTCCCAACATGAAAGGTGTTGTACAAATGTAAATTACAGGTATATTTTTGTGCTTAAATTGGCTGTTCGCCTACAGACATACATAATCACTACACTTTACAGTTTATCCTGTGAAGTTGAGACCAGTGTCTGCTGACGTAAAAAGCGTCATATCAAATGTAAGGTGTATAATTATAACTAAAACTTTGATATCTTGGCCACATGCATGACAGATTACTTCAGATTTATCTGAACATGGTATGCTGGGTTCTGTATCAGGAGGTTGCAGCTTCCAATCCCACGTCAAGGCTTTGAGTTTGAGCCGATGCAGTGCTGGAAGAACTTTGTATTTTGGAAAGACGTTAAACTAAGATGCCATCTCCTGTCTGCCTCTTCAGGTGGACACTATTCGAAAAGTAAAGGGAGTTTCTCCAGTGTCCTGGCCAATAAACCCTCAGATAAAAAAATTGGTCATTCACCTCTTGGCTGTTTGTGGGACATTACTATGTGTAAATCGGCTGCTGAGTTCCCTTATAAAATACATGTTGCAATAAATCCTTTGAAGCGCTTTGATGACTGCTGAGCGCAACTGGCTACCACGTTTCACCCACAAAATGCAGTCAATCCACTTGACAGTATATATTGTGAAGCTCTTTGAGACATATCAATGATGTGGTAAGTCACTATATCAAATACAAGGATTATTTAGATCAATAATAATAATCCTTGCATTTGATATCGCGTATTATCACATCGTTGAGATAACAAAGCTCTTCACAGAATATACTACAAAGTGGATTGACTGTGTATTTTGTGGGCAAAATGCGGCAGCCAGTTGCGCACAGCAGAGTCCCACAAACCATCATGGATTGAGTAACCGATTTTATCTGGGTGATTGTTGGCCAGGATACCAGAAGAGAAACTCTCTTTTCGAATAGTGCCATTGGATCTTTAATCATCTGAATAGATTAATGTACATTCCATTTTATATTCTCTGTGTGTCATCCAACCGGAGCTCACAATGTGTTACTGAGCTTCCTGAACAGGAACTGTGAGGATTAATACAGGGTGACCCGCATTATAACTCATTTTAATGGTCCATAAAATTGGGGGCTGTGTTATAGCCAGTCAGTGGGGAGAAAAATGCTGGTCGTGCTTCCAAGTTGTCAGGTCTCAGCTGACGTTACTTCTGTCACAGGCTGGATGGCATGTGCTTCACTAGAAGTGCTTGGCGTGGCTGACCTGCAGTGTGCTTTTGCAGGAAGCTGGTCAGTGAGATGGAGTCCTGTAGCCTAGTGGTGTAGCAAGCGAGAGTACACAGGTTCTGCTCAGGACGAATCCTTAGGCAAATGCTTAATCCACACGCCTCTGTTTACCTAGCTATAAGTTAGATCCTGGTTGTTCATCGATTGGCGGGTTGCTTTCCAGGGATAATATTCCCTTCAAAAAAAAATAATTTTGTCACTCAAACCACAACTTTTTGTGGGGACCCCTGTGCACAATTGGCTACTGCATTTCGCCCACAACATATACAGTCAATTCACTTTACATTATATTCTGTGAAGCGCTTTGAGCCGTCTCAACGTGATAAGACACTGTATGAAATGCAAGGATTATTATTATTACCAGATATGCAGTTGCCTTATAACTGCATCATCCTGTATTCTCCCACCGTTTAATCTGATTTTGATTGAAGCAAAATAATCTGCTAGAAAAAGCTTGGTGAAGAACAAGGATCGTTGAGCTTGTAAATTTCAGCTATTTTGTGATTTTCTAGGAAGACATTCTACTGGTTTATTTGCTTTGTTCCCACTTGTTCCTGGAAGTCTGCTTGAGGTTTGAGCAGGGGCAATGTTAATTATAATTCTCAATGCCTGAGGAAAGTAGTTTTTTGACCTGCTGGGGGAACAAATCTCTTTTTTTATCTAGACTGGATCAGTTGTCTTGCATAAAAGTACCCATCTGGCAAGCAGTCTCTCAGACCTACGGCTATTCAGATGAATGGCAAAGTTCTTGATAGAACCAGCTGGCATGTGGGCTTTTACAAAACCTCATTGCTAGAAAAATAATCTTTGTGTCCAGAAAAGCTTCAAGATATAACTTCATGTAAATATGTTTTATTCCAGTGAATGAGAATTATTTTAATACTTTATACTGTGGTGGCCTTATTCCCTTGGTTTATCCAGGATCATGCTTAACCAGACTTAAACCAAATTCAGTTAATGGCTCTTTCAGCAGTTTTTCCAACCATGTAGAACCAGCACAGAAGACAGTTCAGTCTATTGTGTCTTCAGCGCAGTCATTACAGTTGCATTTGCCTCCACTTTCCTCCCATATCCCTGTAGTTCATTCATTTTTTTTAGATATTTATCTTGTTCCATTTTCAAAGCTAATATGGATTCTGTCTCAACCACCTCTTCTGGCAGGGTATTCCATAGCCTAACCATTCCGTGTGAGAAAACATTCTCCTAACCTCCTGATTTGCTTGTTTGCTAACTCTTGAATTGATGACTTCTTGTCCCCGACTCACTGACCAGTGGAAATTGGAATGTCAGCCAAGACTATGTCAGTTCAAGGTCCTGATGGAGGGCTTGAACCCTTCTGACTCAGAGTGAGAGTGCTGCTGACTGAAGCAGGCTGACACCTAATGAAATAAAAAAGTGATTTGAGTATGGATAAATCTTGACTAAGTGGATGGGGAGAGTTGAGAAAAAAGTAAGGAATGTTTTTTAAATTTCTTAAGCCATAATGTGAAACAGATGGAAAGCTACATGTATCTCCTATTAAATAATTTTATTTTTCACCTTGGAGTCTGACCACGGTTGGTCAGTGAGTTTCTCTCGTGATGATTAAATGCATAAGGTCTCCATTAATTTTCTTCCATCTCTTGTGTTGCTCTTGATGTGAGAATGATTCCTTTCTTCTCAGAATTCCAAAGTGACGGAAGAACATGAAGAAGAGAACCCCTACGAATTGCTTTTGACAGCGGAAACAAAGAAGCCAACTGCTCTGGATGCATCTCAATTCAGAGCAGAAAGTGCAGGTATTGTGTTAACATTTATACACTGTATTGGAGTGTGAATTTACTGCTGGAGTCTAACCAACTAAAACTGCATAGCTTGCCATCGAATGCATTGTTCGTCAAGTTTTCCCGCTGCCAGCTGGGACCACTCTACCCAATATAGCTTTGCTTTGCAAAATTAACGGGAGCTGAGTAGGAGGAATTCCTGCTCCCGGTGATTGGTCTGACGCTCCAAGGCCCAGCCGATGAGCCACGCTGGTTGGTCTGTTATCAGCAGTGCCCTGGAGTACTGTGGACTCGCTTGGCTCAGGAGCCAAACTACCAAGACCACCAGAGAGTATTGACTTGATTCCAACATTCTATTAACAAGTATGTCACCTTGCAGCTAGTTCTGCTCCAGGTGGACACTGCTTCTCTGGTGTCAAAAAAGAAACCATTTGTTTTCTGATGCTCTAGAAGTAAATAAATTTACTAATAGGAGCGGAAAAGGAACTGATATAGATATTCAATATAAAGGAATCTGTGGAGAAATGTATGATATTCATAAGCTGTTCTAATAAATCATTTGGAAATCAGGCAGAGAATAAATCTGAATGTGTCGCGTCTCAGAAATGTAATCGTGTTAATGTGAAGGGTAGAGCGTGTTGATGATCTAATGCCTTTTCTCAGCACAGACAATTTATGGAGAACATCTTGCAGTAAGTGCGGGAAAAATGTAATAAAATGTTCACTATATATGTTAATAGCCAAGTAATTCAGATGTGAAACATGTTGCTGGTTATCACTTTTGCTATGTGTTCATCTGTTGGGGGAAAAATGGTTCATTTTAGCAATATTGTGATGGACAATTGTTATCGTGTCATGTAATCTGGATCTAAACATCAGACCAACCCTCCCCAGCTTCTGATTAATGTGAGTAATGCAAAAAAATCTTAAGTAATTTTGATAGGGACTTAGGAGAATAAGTCCTAAGTAAAATTTGGGCGATTGTACAATTTATAAAGCTAAGACTTGTGTGAGTTTCACTGTATTAGAAATTTTCCATTTCACTGCTTTGAATTTCATTCTGCACAGTGAATGGATTGCAAGCAGAGCACCTCAGGCTGCTTGTCAATTGTGGCTATTGGATCAAATAGTCTGTCCATGAGCTAAATATAGAACTTGTGAGGTTTTCACGGAATCCACAGAGACTTGATTGAAGTAAGATTTGAAGACAATTCATGTTATTTCTCTTTGCTTCAGGCAGGGACTGGGCGAAATTAACAAAAGGTGCAGGTAAATGGAAAATGTGATTGATCTTGATAGAGTTTGCCTGTATGTAACATGGTCCAAGAATGAAAAGTGTTGAATATCTGGATTTAGATTCAGGTCTGCCTTTGTGCACCACTGGATTAAAAAAATGGTGTGTTAATTTGAAATGAGAGAAGCGATGAAAAGACAGAAGCTTAAGAGGAAGACTGACAGTTTCATGCTGTGACTCGTAAACAAAAGCAGTGTTTAAATATAAATGTATTAATGTTTCAAAATGTTGTGGCTGATTCCCTCTGTTCTTCTAGGATGCTCCACATGAACTAGAAGGACATTTAAGTAAAGTATGAACAGGCTTTAAAACACCTGCTATTTCTCTTTCCCACCTAACTTGTTTAAGCCATTTGTGTCCTATTGTAAAAACTATTTTGGACAAGCAGAGAACTTTCTTCCTACTCAATTCCCCAACATTTTCTTCTAAATGTCATTGGAAAGTTTTATTATCAAAATCTCCATATTTTTGTTTCCTTAAACATAATCATCTCAAACTAGTTTTATAACGCAATTTTGAATTTCTCATTGCCAAGGTTGCACTGGGGAAGCAGGGAATGAGAGATCAATAGCCAATGCTCCAGCATTAACTGGTGGGATATTGAAACCTCCATTAGGAAGGACAGTCATAAATGTTTTTTTTAATTCTGCCAAATGATTGTTAATGGTAAATAAAACATTTAGGATACAGTTATTACAGAGCTTATATCCTGCTTTGTTTCTTTTTGAGGCACACACACAGAAAAATCCATATCGCTTCTGCTGTAAAACGTAATTCTGCCCTGTGGAAAGAAGCCATAATTGGGCCAGCTCCATTTCATTCTCCTCTCAAGGGTTTCAGTCTTGATGAGGTGAGAGAGAAAGATTTGGTAGGTGTAGGTGTGTGAATTTGCTGAGAATCTATGCCAGGTTATAATTGATATTGGCAGAAATGGCTCTGTCTTGGCTGTGAGTTGAAGGTCAGATTTGATCAAGTATCTGATTCTCTTGTGCAGCATTGGGTGTGAACTGAATACGTAGGAAGTATATAGTGTATGTGCTTGGTTATTGGCTCAGTTGGTAGCACTCTTGCCTCTAAGTTAAAAGGTGGATTCATGCCCATGTCAGAACTTTGAACTTTTAGAGTCAAGGCTGACACTTCAGTGCAGTGCTGAGAGTGCACTTCATTGTTGGAGGTGCCATCCTTGGGATGAGTCATTAAACCTACCTGTTCAGGTGGACAATGATGATCCCATTGGCACTTCAAAAAGAGAATTGATTTTCTCCTGATGTCCTAGGCAACAATACTCCAAATAAAATTGGTCATGGCTTCATGACTGTTTGTGGGACATTGCTATGTGAAAATTGGCTGCCACATTTATCACAAACTAGATGTACCCTTTGCAGCCTTCACTTGTAACCAAAGGATCCAATATGGAATGTAGATTTCAGTGATGATGGACGCCATCTGATTCATAGTCTCTGCTGGATCATGGTTGAGCGCAGCTAAATGGAGTGACCTCTGCTGCTGGGCGGCATTTTGCCATGTTCTTGCATGCCTTTCTGCGTCCAAGTCTTGCCGGGCTGTTCTTTGAGCAAGCAATTGATTTTGCCTTGTTCTTACATGCCTTTCTGGTTCGAAGTCCAACCATGCTGTTCTTTTTTCTTCAGTTTCATTTAGTCGACCTTTTCTCTTTTACCTAGAATTTTTATGTGTTCCTGAAAGGCTTGATCTTCACTTCTTAGACATCTTTATCGCTTAAGATTAAGAAAACGTGCTGTTGGGAGGATTCCTTGTTGGAGTCCATACATGTGTGATGAGCTTGTTTAGGTCATAGCTCACCAACAATAGGAGATACCCGAAAAAATATGCTCATGACACTCCCCCATGCAAGACCTTTCCGATGAGGTTATTGTGTTATTGGCAGACACACAAATATTTCATCTTTATTAGTATAGATACCTCTAAACTTTATGATAAATCCTGTGAAGTGTTTTGAGATGTCTCAACAATGTGATAAGGTGCTATATCGAATGCAAGGATTAATGTATATTATACTTATGCCTCCCTTGTTTTAGATATTTAAAATCCCACAAGAAATTTCACGCTAATTTACCCGAGGCCAGTGTATGCAAGCAAGTTGTTTTTAAAAATATATATAATTAAAATAAAAAACATTTTAAAAAGCAGATAAGGTTATTCATTCACTTCATGGCTGTTTATGGGATATTGTTGCGCTCAAATTGGTTGCCTCGGTTGCCTACAAATACAATCACTACACTTTACAGTAAAATCCTATGAAGAGCTTTGAGACTTCTCAACAATGTGGTAAAGTGCTATCAAATGCAAAGATTATTATAAGAGGAAACCTGATGCTGTTGTGCTGTGCTGTGAATACTGTAATGTCTTACAAACAGCAGCTCATTGACCTAAATGGTGATAAAGTGCCTGGTCTGTATTGATGTTTGAGCCTGTCCACATTGTTGGAATAATACACCACAGATTACTCTTGTACCTGTACCTTATTTGAAATGCTGTTATTAACAGACACATTTTAAATTTGTTGATTACACCAGTTTTGTCCAATTATCACTGTCTTTTATTGATCTGCATTAAAAAATTGCAATCTGTAGCCTTCAAATTTTTTTGTTTTCAGTATGAGCCAAGTGATGGCTTTTTAATAAACTAACTTAACCTCTGAATATTTAGGATATTTTTTCCTATCGGTTCCCCTCCTCTAAATACGATTGATTCCTTTTTCCAGTATAGTATTTCAGCTAATTGTCCATTCACATGTGAGCCTAGATATTGAGTGTGAGCAAGTATTTGATCATGCGAGATGTTCCAGTTTTGCCAGGCCTTTGAGATATTGTACATGAAGGGTGCTATTTGAATGAAAGTGTTTTTACACTGTCCTCACCTGGCATCGACACATATGAGGACAGGTTCAAGCAAAGGGATCACTGCACAGCTATCAAGAGCCCTGCCAGCCCTGCTTATCAATCTTATTCAAACACTGCTGTGCTCTAATGCAGATCAGGTATCAAACCAGGAATCTTTCTTGTCTAAGGATCAGCTACTTGTTAGATGAACGATGAGGCCATCAGCAAGGGAAATTGTATTTTTAACATCTATTGAGCTCTCAATAACTCCCTTTGCTGACACCCTTGCCCAGTATATTCAAACCGCTTCCTACCCACACAAGTTCCTTTTTGAACATCCACCGCTAATTGTTAGTCCAAAGAGCTTGCATCAGAGCCCACATGCACAAATCTGACCACACAGTCCACTATCAGGTTTGGTTGAAACGTACCAAAACTTACCAGTTCTCCCTCTTCTCAGGCAAATCCTCCTCCTGCTCCAGGAACATCCTGGAGAGCAAAGATTCCCCCACTACCTCTTCTCCATCAGCACCAACCACCTCCTCCGCACATCCTCCTATGCCAGTCAAGTAGGAGTGAAGTATGAAGACCATTGAGTAAATTTGTATGAAGACTTCTCAGCTTCATATTCACTGACCAACACTGACAATAATTAAATGTATACAGAAGCATATATTTAACACTACAATGCTGCATTGGTGATGTTTTTAATGATTTTTAATATATATTTTTTAAACGTTATTCTATATATGGTCAAGCCATTCAAAGAATTGATTGATTAGGAAAAAATATTTTAACCTTTGTTCCAGAATTGTAAAAACTCCTTCTGACAAATCTAGTTCTGGAGTAGTTAGATCCCA